GAGTCTTTAGATCAATTTCGCTCATCGACATTAACATGAATTTAGTTAAAATCTTTTGAAAAATTTACTTAATTTACTACTGATCCTAGTTCTAATCGGTTCTGACGTATATTAACTATATATAGTTGTCAAAACACAATATTTCTATCCATTTTCACAAAAAATACTGGATTTCCGACAAAGAAAGAGCTTATAATTATAAATAATTGCCAATAAACGATCAGAACAGATGATATTGTTAAACTATAATGTTCATTTTACCTAAAAAACGTATTATTATAAAATCTTATTTAAATTTGGACGAGCGATTGTGATTTTAAGATGATTTTTTTAAAAAAAAGATTACACGGTCTGGGTTTTTTCGCTACAAACATTTATATTTTATGATAGCGCAAAATTTATAATTTTAATTTTTTTCGTCTTTTAATATTTCACAGACCAGACTATTTCATGGAAATATGTCTTAATCAACAAATTATCATTCAGACTCTATAACTACACCGAGTATGTATATATATATATATATATATATATATATATATATATATATATATATATATATATATATATATATATATATATATATATATATATATATATATATATATATATATATATATATATATATAAAGTAAAAAAATATAAAAAAGTATAAAAAATTATATATATATATATATATATATATATATATATATATATATATATATATATATAAGGCTAAGTTAATTAATTAACTTAGCCTTATAATATAAATTCTGGTATAATAACTATTATATATATGTTTATTTTTTTTCTATACTTTAATACCTAAAAAAAGGAAATCAAAGAAGATTCAGTATTTTGGGTATAAAACTCCAAAAAAAATCTTTTCGCAGATTCCTTTAATAGCGCCGTTTGACGTATATCTATGTCTATATAAAAAGTTAATTAAGTAAAATTAAAAATAATTTTTTGTAATTAGCTTTGTAATTACTATTTCAACTGTTATACACACACACACACACATATATATATATATATATATATATATATATATATATATATATATATATATATATATATATATATATATATATATATATATATATATATATATATATATATATATATATATATATATAGGGGCTCTCCAGTTTTGATGTTAATCCGAGGGAAGAAAGACAAGTGTGTAGTTATATACAAAAAAAAAAAGTCTGTAAAAGAGAAAAATTAGGATATTGCTTCAAGATAATTGCGCGCACGTGCGAATAGACTATATCTTATTATAGTCTATTTTCACGTTTAAAAAAAAATTTCCAGTCAGAGTTTTAATATGAAATCTCTCACAAACAAAAAATATTTACCGGTTTTTACATCCATTTAAAACAATCATGACAACCATTTAAAACAACCATGACATTCATTTAAAACACCGCGACAATCAATTAAAACAATGTGATTTTCAATTAAAACAATCGTGATTTTCAATTAAAACATTTAACGCATGCGCAATCTCAACATTCTATATTATTTTTTTTAAAAAGGTTTCATTTATATACTTATTTATTAAGATTTTTTTTTAAATATCATATTAATTTTTTTTTAAATTTATTTGAATTTATTTTAATTTTAAACGGATGACATATTTAAATGGATGCAAAACCCGGTATACGTGTGTACGCCTTACTTAGAAAATACACTGAGAGGTTTGATGTTGAGAAATATGTATTCTATAAAAAAAAGAATAGGGGAATGGTGTCACAGCAAATATACGAGCAACGAGATATTAAAGAAAAAGAAGTAAAATAGATTCGAACCACAGCCTTTCGAGTATGAAGAGAACGCCTTATCCAAAGCAGCTAAACGCGTAGCTACTGACTCAGACAAAATAAATATTATATAATAAAAAGGTGTTGATTATCATGGATGTTTTAAATGAACGTTAGGGTTGTTTTACCAATAAGATAAGGCCATGTAAAAATGTGTACCTAAACAGCATGGAATAATTGAAGCAGGGTTATTGATTCTTATACGCGCGTCTATTCATTTTTATATATCCGCCTTTATTCATTCTTATATGCGCATTTACTCATTTTTATATGCGAATTTGTTCATTCTTATATGCGTTTTACAAAAGCAATGTAAAAAAATAATTTGAACAAAAAAAAAATCATTTTAGCAAGTTTATTTTTTCAAAACAAATTTTTCTTATTTTCTTGTAAACGAGGTTAAAAATACGAAGGTTAAAAAAACGAGGTTAAAAATACGAATTAACGAAGACTTTTTAGATTCGACGATGGTTTATTTAATTTAGTATAAGTTCTTTGTTTTCAATGATAGTTTATTTAATTTAGTATTAGTTCTCTGTAATTTTATTATTAAATTTCTTGATTGATTAAGTTATTATTTATCTTACTATTCATTTATCTAGATTTAAATTTAATTATTTATAATCATTATTAATATCAAATCATACATCCCTATGGATGGAATAGAAAATAGCAGTACCAATCGTAAAACAAGGAAAAATGTTACAAAAGAGCACTTTGAAATGCTTAAGCATTTAATTGAAAGAAATCAATCTACAACAAGCATTTCCACTTCTCTTAATTTATTGAAGCGCACAGTTCAAAATCTTGTCGTTAAGTTAAACAGAGGATAATTCGACGACATGACTGTATTCAAGTCGTTTTCTGATAAAAAACGAGGTAAAAGACCTATAAACTCTCAAATAAAAAATATTATCGAATTATGCGTACAAGAAAACAATCTTTGCCCTTAAGAAGCAATAAAAGAAAATCTTTCTGCAGCAGGCTTCAACATGTCTCAGCCTACTATTTCAAGAAAACTCAAACCCTCGGATTTATCAAGAAAACGTGTTGTGTATGTGCCAGAGGAATGAAATTCAATATTTATGCACGCTATGCATTTGCAAGCGAAATAACGGAATTTCAGATGAAAAACTTATTTTTTGGATAAAACTGGATTTAATAACATAAATATGGTTATTTATTACACAACTAACAGCACATATGGTTATTTGCTAAGAGGTACGCCAGCAATTTTACAGTCACCTGCAAATCGTGGTAAGAATGTTAGTTTAATTTGTGCTGTTTCAACAATGGGAGTGGTTGCTTATGAAACAAAAACTGGAGGCTAGAATGCAGATTCATTTTGTACTTTCATAACTACAATGATGGCACCAGCGATAAGGAATGTAAATGTGGAAGAGCCTGTGCTTGTTATCGACAATTGTTATGGACAAATACATGACTAAATATTCAAATAACAAGTTTGTTCAGCCCAAAGCTATATATGAGTCCACCAAGTTCTCAATAACTATTAGAGGACCTAATGTATGGAATAAGTTAATTAGTAATGATATTAAAACACTTACAACTCTTGAACAGTTTAAACAAAAGCTAAAACTATTGCTTTTAAATAACAATCAAACAGATAATTTTTTTTAAATCTATTTTAAAAAATAATAGGGGAGAGTGGTACTGAATGGACCTTGTACTGAATGGACCATTAGAAAAATAAAAACTTAACAAGCTGTTAATTGATTTTTTTTTAATTGCATATTATTTTTGTATACTCAAAGTTTCTTTGATATTTTTGGTTTAACGTTATTCGTAATGATGCATTAATATTTGTATTTTTTGTTTTTTTCGAGCAAAAAGTAAATTTTTATTCTTTCAATTTGTTTCAATTTACACTAGATTTTTAAGGTAAAGTTAACTATGGTTAATAATAATATTGTAGATACATATTTTTTACTTTGTATAACATTAGAATGAATGTTATATGATTTACTGATTGCTGTGATTATATGGGTAACATGTACATTTTGATTAGTGTACTGGATGAACCACCATTGATTGTACTGAATGGACCGGTTCACTTTTCTGCGGTTATTTATCGCGCTTCAGTATTTTAATTTCAGATTTATTAAACACCCACTATACAAGTAAGGTAAATTAAGAGTTTCATATAAGATAAATATAAAAAATCTTGGAATTTTTTTTTTTTTTTTTTTTTTTTCATCAACGTAATCATCTTGGAATATGTTTTTCAAGAATGTCCTTGAAGATAGTTCTCTGCTCTTTTAAGTTCCAGTACTCAACTGCACATTTTAGAGATTGAAGATCCGTTTCAGGAATTAAATTTTTGAGGCCGACAATTTTTATTTTTTTTTACTTTCCATTATTGTCTCCAGATTTAGTTCATGATTATTGCACAACCCTTTGATACCATCTAAAAAATGTTGTGGGGCTGTTTTGTTTTTCAGATGCGACCTAATAATATCATATGTCATTTTATTGCTCATCAAACGAATAAATAAGTTTAGCTTGTTTGTTGTATAATAATTGATATATCTTCAATAAAAAATAAGGTATGAATATAATTTTTGCTATGTTTTGAAACATCGAGGAGTGACTTAAGTGCATTTCTTCCAACTATATCAAGCTTTTGCATTAACATTTTTTTATGTTCACGTATCTCAAGACCATACGTTAGTGTTGGAACAGCTAAAGTTTTATATAACTGAACAATGGAGTTTGGGTGAGCAAAACGGATTCCTGATTGAATTAAGGTTTGGATTGCCGTCTGGGAATTAGATATTCGATGATCAATGTTTGATTTATTAAGTGAGGGGAACTTTTTGTATCCCATGTAAAGCCTAGATGACTAAGTTTATCATGAAGTTTTATTTCTTGGTGGTTGAGAGTTATTGTGCAGTTTTTAATTTGCTTTTTTCCGGTGAGCAGGAACTCGATTTTGTCAGCATTCAATTTTATGCAGTTTTTGTGTGTGTACATATTACATATATTAATAAGCTTTTGTAGGCCAGAGAGGGTGGAGCTAAGGAGTATAATGTCATCAGCATATGCTACAACACCCGTATAGTTTCCATTGATTGATGTACTACGACGCTTTCGTTTTGTAATTTTGTTTTAGTAAGTATGTTACTTACTAAAACAAAATACAGAAGTTTTTTCATCTAAATGAACTAAGGAGGTGTGAGTTAGGAAATAAACCAAAATATCTAGTTAACGAAGACTTAAGGGCTCAAGTTCAATTATTCATTATTCAATATAATATTAAGGTAAGCAGATAATATAATATTAAGTTAAGCAGACTAATAGCTTACATATTAGGTTAATAATTATTAATTTGTAGTTTGTTTCATTATTTCAATAACTGAATGTCATAATATTATTACGATATATAAATAAGGTGGTATTACTTTTAATAACATCTAGCATATAACATTTGTTATATATACTATATATAATAAAAGTTATATGCTAGATATGTTATATGGCATATAATATGCTAGATAAGCTATATGCTAGATATTATATAATATATCTGAAATGTTATTTATACGTTTTTAAAAACAATGACAATTACCATGGTCAGTAATTTTTACAATACAAAAAATCTAGTAATATCTAGAATAAAATTTCGTAAATTAATTCTTATATTTAAATTACTAAAGCTTGTTGATCATAATAAAAAAAATTATTCTACATTCAAGCTTTTATATAATTTAGCATTTTATACATGTTATATGTGTGTGTGTGTTTAGATAATTATATATATATATATATATATATATATATATATATATATATATATATATATATATATATATATATATATATATATATATATATATATATATATATATATATATATATTTAAAGTAGCATCGATAATTTTTTTTTATAATATGGTTATAAACAAGTTTTATTTATTTCAGAAGTATTATGAGACATCGAAAAGCAACAGCACTAAAAGGTGATTGGGATCCCAATAATATGATCCAAGCAGTTGAAAATTTTTTAAATAAAACTCTATCTGAAAGAAAAGCTGTTGAGATGTTTGGAGTCAAACGTTCAACTCTTAAGAGGCGATTAAGAAAAGAAGAATAAAAATATTGTTTAGTTTCTGAAAAAATGGGATATGGGTTAAGTCCTATTAATCTAAGAGCACTAACATTTGAATATGCTCTCAAACTTGAGAAGAAGTGTCCACATTCTCGTCGAGGTTCTGCTAAACCTTGGGAAACAAATAAACATGCAGGTGTAGATTGATTTAGAGCTTTTTTTAGTCGTCATCCAGAACTTGTTATAAGAAAACCAGAGGCAAAATCAATTGGTCAAATGTCAGCATTCAACAAGTATAATGTAAATCTATTTTATAATAATCTACAAAGTCTTTTGATTAAATACAAGTTTTCACCAAATGATATATGGAACGTTGATGAGACTGGTGTTACTACTGTACAAGTGCCAGAGCATGTTTTAGCCAAGAGAGGAAAGAGGCAAGTTGCTTCTGTTACAAGTGCAGAACGAGGTATCTTGGTAACAATGTGCAATGCAGTAAATGCAAGTGGATCCTCAATAACACCATTCTACATTTTCCACGTGTTCATTTTAAAGATTTTTTTCTGCGAAATTCAATTCCTGGTTCTGTTGGCACTGCCAACAAATCTGGGTGGATGGTGGAATCAACCTTTATGGAGTGGTTTAATCATTTTATAAATAGTGTTCGACCATCTAAGGCAAACCCTGTGCTGTTGATACTAGATAATCATGAGTCTCATATGTCAATTAACTTCATTGACTTAGCATCAGATAATGGTGTAATTGTTTTAACAATCCCACCCCATTCATTACACAAACTGCAACCATTAGATATAACATTGTATGGACCTTTCAAACGTCATTATAATCGTGAAATTGGTAGCTGGTTGGTATCACATCCAGGAAAAACTGTTTCAATCTATGACATTGCAGAAATTTCTGGAAAGACTTGGGCAAAAGTATCAATGCCAGTTAACATCATTAGTGGTTTTTCAGTATCTGGAATAAGTCCTTTTCAACCTGATCGGTGGAAGGATGAGGATTTTTTTTTATCTCAGGTTACAAATAGACCCAATCCTGAAACACTCAACATCAATCCAGTATCATTAGAAATTATTAGACCTAATCCTGAAGCACTTAACATCAATCCAGTTTCAGTAGAAATTAATAGACCTAATCCTGAAGCACTCAATATCAATCCAGTTTCAGTAGAAGTTATTAGACCTAATCCTGAAGCACTCAACATCTATCCAGTTTCAGTTGAAATAAATAGAAATGTTAAAGTCAACAAAAATGTTAGCAATACCCTGAATGTGGAAAGTATACGCCCTTATCCTTCTGCAAAAGCTCGTTTAGAAAAAACCAAAGGTGCTCGCAAAAAGCTCTCCTCTTCGATTCTAACTGATACTCCAATTAAAGAGGCTCTTCGAAATCAATAACTTCAGCAAAATTTAAAAAAACAAAACAATTCTGAAAACTCAAAAAGATGCTAAAAATAAACGTCAAAGGACATCAAGAAAGAAATCAAGCAACTCAAAAACTCTAAAGTTTCCATTAATGACATATAATAATGATGAGGCTGATGATATTCTTGTTGAAAGAAACGATAATGGTGTCAAAGATAGTTTAAATTTTTGTGGAGGTATTACATCAAATTATGATTTGTGTGCTATATGTGAAGAAATGGGTCGTGACAACGAAGTGTGGTACCGTTGCAGACAGTGTGCGAGCTGGGCACATAAAGCTTGCACAAGTATAGATAATGCCAGCCAATATGTTTGTGATTATTGTAATTTGATTATCTGATTGAGACTTCGGTCTAAAGTTGTATTAATTAATTCAGAAATATCAATGTCTCAACATACTTCTTTCTTGTTTTTAAACTCCATTTATCACCCTAATTGCTTTGCATAATGTAACTTGTTATACGCAATTGTTTACAACTTTTATTATAATATACAATATACAAGGATAGTTAGTTAAGATATTAATCTTGTCTCTCGAATTAATATATCGGCTATAGTTATTAGCGATAGAGATATTGATCTTTTTTATTAAAAAAAAAAACTTTTTTTGTGGTCCATTCAGTACAAGGGTTGGTCCATTCAGTACAGTACTGAATGGACCACTAAATAATTTGGTACGGGTCACATTTATCGCACATTTTGCCTATGTTCTGTTTGCGCAATGGTTTACAACTTTTAGGGATTGTTAGTTAAGGTATTAATTTTGACTTCTAAATTAATATATCCGCCATAGTTGTTGACAATATGGGAAAAAATTATTTTTACAAAAAAGTTGAATTTTGTGGTCCATTTAGTACCACTCTCCCCTATATTTGAAAATTATCTATTAGTGCATACTTTATTTGTATGGAAAAGGATAAAGTCTTTAATTATATATACATTACTGTTAATTATATTATGAAAAAGTAATTATGGATTTACAGCATTTATGTACGAATGTGTGTGTATGTGTATATATATGCGTGCGCAAGTGTGTATATGTATACATATATACATACATGTGTATGTGTATATATTTCTTTTGATTGTAGATTAACATTATGTTTTCATTTTTTCATGTTTTTTTTTGTTTTTGTTTGTTGCTGTTGATTTTTGTTTTCTTGAATAAATTATTAAATTTGCTTTCAATGAATAACTTTGAAATTTGAATATAAACACCATTGCATTGCCGTAGTTAACCTTCATGTTATTGAGAACTTTTTAATTAATTAAAAATATTTTTTAAACATTAAAAATAACTTTGAAAGACTCTATTAAACTGTTTTGCATTTTGTATAAACTATTTTGAAATATTTTGCTTTTTTCTTTCATTTTTAATTTTTAATATTAGTTACAACATATTTATATAAATATCTTGAAAAAAACAAGGGACTTGGTGATAAGGCAAACCTGTCTTCTTCTCGTCCTTGCCATTTTTATATATATTATAAAACACGAAGCTTGTAAATATTTGTACGGCTAAATAAATAAGAAAAAAAAATTGTAAATTCCACTGGAGTCTTTCTGTTAGACAAGCACTAGCCTCTCATGGTATAGCTATTAAGTATCTACCAGCATACTCGCCACAGCTTAATCCAATAGAAGAATTTTTTTCTTCTTTAAAACATAGGCCTCGAAATACGGATGAGGTAATCAGGTAACTTAAAAATATTATGGATACTACAGAGTTTAATTTAATTCCATTTTACAAATCCAGCGCTGGCTCGGCAACCATTTCTTAAATAAATAGCAATGAAAACAACCTAATTTATATTTTAAATATACCTATATAAAAATTTAAAAGCGTATTTATTGTTTATATTAAAATATATTAGAGATTTTATGGGTGGTTGACCCGCATTTAAACGCGCATATAAAAATGAATAAACACGCAATAAAGGCGCATATAAGAATGAATAAACACGCATATAAAAATGAATAGACGCGCATATAAGAATGAATAACCCTGTAAATATGTATACATGTGTGCCTTACCGGGTTTTTCATCCATTTAAAACAAGTATGGCATCAATTTAATATTAAAATAAATTCCATTAAATTAAAAAAAATTAATATGAATTAATAAAAAAAATTTAAATAAATAAATATATAAATAAAATCTTTTCTTTAAATAATATAAAATGTTGAGATTGCGCATGCGTTAAATGTTTTAATTGAAAATCACATTGTTTTAATTAATTGTCGCAGTGTTTTAAATGAATGACATGATTGTTTTAAATGGTTGACATGATCGTTTTAAATCGGTGTAAAAAGCGGTATAACTTAAGTCATATATTTTGAAAGCAATTTAATTTTTTTTAATCAATTATAATAAAAATAAATAAAATTATTTAAGCATAATTAAATTTTCAAAAAACAAACATAAACGTACCAATAGATAATATAAACATTGAGAAATATTTCTTTTTTAAATTAAAAGATTGCCTGCCCAAGCCAAAACCCTCGTCATTGTATTTATATTACAGTGTGCCTATCCCTGGATAAGCAGTCGATACGATACTACGGTGCGCATATCCTTCAAAAGTCGGTCATTTTAAAGCCGCTAAATTTAAATATTTAAGCGGCTCTAATTTTAAAGATATCTTCAACTTCAACTGTTTTTTCACATATATTTAATCATTTATATTATTTTTAGTTTAAAGTATCAATATATTTTATGAATAACTCAAATAATTTTAAAATGTTATTGTGTTTGATAATCTATTAATAGTAAAAGAAGAAAACATGTTCAAAGTTTATATTGAATTAAAAAGATAGTTCTGCCCGGGCTCGAACCGGGGACCTTTCGCGTGTGAGGCGAACGTGATAACCACTACACTACAGAACTTGTTGATAATGTTGTAATATAACTAGTATATAATATTAAGTAAGTGTATCTAGGCATATAGAGTAATTTTTTAAAATTATTTTTGTTTCTTAATTTTTTAAAATTATTAATACTACCCAGGGCCGTCCCAAAGAGGTCTTCCATGGGGTTGAAGGGGGGTGCAAGTATTTTTTTGCCAACTAAGGACACCAAAAAAAAAAAAAAAAGGTCCTACTTGCAATTTGCCAACTATAAATATAGCAAACTATATTTATATTTAAATTTGCCAACTATAACTTTAATATAAATATAATTGGCAAAATGTCAACTATATTAATAAATATAGTTGGCAAAATGCCAACTCAAAAAGCATTTCAGTTGGCACATTGACCAAAACTTGCTCAATGTGCCAACTCAAATGCTTATATGACAGCTTTGAGGGGGAGGGGGGACACCCCCGACACCCCTCCTTTTGGACAGCCCTGATACTACCCCACGCAATTTTCGCGTCATTTATGTGACCATATATGAGCTAATAATATAGTTTTATTTATATAAATTAAGTATATATATATATATATATATATATATATATATATATATATATATATATATATATATATATATATATATATATATATATATATATATATATATATATAAGTATATATATATATATATATATATATATATATATATATATATATATATATATATATATATATATATATATATATCAGTGGCGGATCCAGGTCATTGTCCTGGGGGGGGGGGGTTAGTTTGATCACCAAAAAAAATTTTCTTTCGTCAGATAAACCACTTTTTTATTTGATTATTTAGTATATATTTAGAAAAATTTGCTAATAAATATACTGAATGTATCTGTATATAAATATCTTGAAAAAATCAAACGTTGAAAATAAATATTTAGTCTGTAATAAGGGACGGATTTTATTTCCACGATACATTTAAAAATTGAGCCCGCTAAAAGCATGATGCACTTGCTGCAGTCTTGTCTGCCAATAGGTAAATCTGGCCCTGTCTGTAATGTGCAACAAAAGACAAAATAATATCTTCAGTATATTCTTTTTTTTAGTAAAGACTTTTATAAATGCAACAAACTACAATATATAATTAAGCTTTTGAGTTTTTGAAGATGCAAAACTATCAATAATCTTTTCGACATTTATGATACAACTTCTATGGATATGCATCATAGCTAAGCCATTTAATCGTTCTTGTCCTATATTGGATTTAAACCAAGTTTTAAGTTTTTTTAAAACCGAGAAACTCCGTTCTCCCGAAGCAACGCTAACAGAAAAGGTGCAAAGCAGTTGCAAAATACATTTAATTAAAGGAAGACATTACCATCCCGAGAAAAAAAACCCCGCTAATCCTGTTAAGTTCCTAATAAGTTTCCTACTAAAACTTAGTAAGTTCCCGCCGAGTACTTACTAGGAACTTAGTAGGATTAGCAGGTTTTAGTAGGAAACTTAGTAGGATTAGCAAGTTTTAGTAGGAAACTTAGTAGGATTAGCAAGTTTTTAGTAGGAAACTTAGTTGGATTAGCAAGTTTTTAGAAGGAAACTTAGTTGGATTAGCAAGTTTTTAGAAGGAAACTTAGTAGTATTACTAGGGTTTTTACTCGGAACTTAGTAGGTACTTAACAGGATTATTTGGGTTTTTTTTCTCGGTTAAGTACTACTTTCTAGTTTTAGTTAATAGTTTTTTTAGTTAAATTCATATGTTTATTAGGGTTTTATTTAATTATTTGAGTTTTAAAGATTTCATAGATATATTAGTAGGCTTATTTTTCAAGAAATATACGAGTTTAAGTAAAAATAATAATTTTTTAATAATAATTTAAACACAGAATCTTCTTGAAAATATAATCCTTATAATATAACTTAACTAGTCGCTAAGCAATAAGGACGCTTATTTATAAAACAATAATAAAAATAACAAATAACCAAGTGATAGATTGTTTAACTAGAACATTTAAAAAAATACAATAAACAGCGATGGTCAGTTCTTTTGGTAATTTCGCAGGTGTCAGAGGAATAATTGCACCCATAAGATTTTTCTTAATCTTTTACGACCATAACTGTAGCTATACATAATTTATAAAAATATTAATGTAATTCAACAACATAATAACATATATTTTATAACAAAAAAGCATATTTAACTTACCATAAATTTAGAACGATGAAAAAACTTTCATTATCATTGTTTCAAAGCTATTATAATCTAAAATTTCAAAATAAAAGTGTATGAAAATATGAAACTAAGTTAAACTAAAAAAATTTAAATGAGCCTCGAGTGTGTATATATATATACATATATGTATATAAATATATATATGCATATATGTATATAAATATATATATATATATATATATATATATATATATATATATATATACATATATACATATATACATATATACATATATATATATATATATATATATATATATATATATATATATATATATATATATATATATATATATATATATATATATATATATATATATATATATATATATATATATATATATATATCAGTGGCGTAACCATAAAATTTGCACCCCCCCCCCACTAAAGAAGTAAAGGGCCCTGCTTAAATTTTTTCTCCCACTTTATATTTTTTCAAAATATATTTAAGAATGAAATATCCAATATTTCCTTTTTATATTAAGTTAATGTAATACGAGTAAGTCTATAAAAAAATTAATTAAACTTAAAATTATTATTACCAGTCATATTATTCATGAGTAAAATTTAAAAATCTCTGCAGGGCTATTTAAGCTCCGTGCCCACCCGCGGGGTTTTGCTCCGCTTGTTACGCCAATGATATATATATATATATATATATATATATATATATATATATATATATATATATATATATATATATATATAGATATATATATATATATATAGATATATATATATCAATGATATATATATATATATATATATATATATATATATATATATATCAATGATATATATATATATATCAATGATATATATATATATATCAATGATATATATATATATATATATATATATATATATATATATATATATATATATATATATATATATATATATATATATATATATATATATATATATATATATATATATATATATATATATATATATGTAACTCTGCAGTTAAGCGGCCTAAAATAATTTTATTTTTTATTTGATTATAATCTACGATGGAAAAACTGTAAATGTTATGTAACGTAAAAAGCGTGAAAATTAATAAAAAAAACATAATAGTGAAAAAAATAATTAAGATTTTTATAATTAAACTGTTTTATGTTTTTAAAGTAAAAAAGTGTATAAATTAGCTTTTTTTTCTTTAAATATATTTTGATTAAAAAATTTGTATGATAATTTATAGAAATTTAAGAAATCTTAAGTACAGTCAGCCCTGGCTCTAGAAATTTCGATGGTGGGTAAAAAAAAATATTTAGGCGCCTTAAAAAATAAATAATAAGATGTTTTAACGTGTTTTATCACAATTTTTTGATAAAAAAAATTGTGATAAAACACGTTAAAACATCTTTTATATATATATATATATATATATATATATATATATATATATATATATATATATATATATATATATATATACATATATATACATATATATATATATATATATATATATATATATATATATATATATATATATATATATATATATATATATATATATATATATATATTTTTTTTTTTTTTAAGTGTGTATATAAATATATATATATATATATATATATGTATATATATATATATGTATATATATATATATACATATATATATATATATATATATATATATATATATATATATATATATATATATATATATATATATATATATATATATATATTTATATATATACATTCTTCATTTAAATTCAACATGACTAATGAATAATTATGCATAATCACATTATATATAAAAAAACAGAAAATAAAATAGTTACCTGAAGCTGATTGATGATTGTACATGGTTTGATATGGAACTAAACATATTGTGTGTGTTTATATATATATATATATATATATATATATATATATATATATATATATATATATATATATATATATACTAGGTTGGTTGAAAAGTTCGCGGAGCGGAAATGAAAAAACAATTTTATGATTCAAAAAATGACTTTATTCTTCAGTATATTCTCCCTTAAGAGCAATACACTTTTTCCAACGATTCTCCAATTCATGTATCCCATCTCTGAAGTGCGATTCCGGAAGGCCTTCAAAATACCCATTTACGGCTGCAATGACTTCTTCATGTGATGAGAAACGCTTTCCACGTAGAAATTTTTTGAGATGTGGAAAGAGGTGGAAGTCGGACGGAGCCAGATCTGGTGAATAGGGTGGATGTTCCAAGCGTTCGTACTTTAATTCGACCAATTTCGCCTTTGCAACATCGCTGATATGAGCAGGTGCGTTGTCCTGGTGATAAATGATTTTTTTATGCAGCAAACCAGGTCTTTTCTAACGAATTTTTTTATCCAACTGGTCCAAAAGATTTTTATAATATTCACCTGTTATCGTTTTACCGGTTTGAAGGTAATCTATTAATAAAATTCCTTTCGCATCCCAAAAAACTGATGCCATAACCTTCTTTGACGATTTTGACGCCTTCACTTGCTTCGGAGCTGAACAACCGGGTTCTGTCCACTCTGCAGTTTGTTGTCGCAGCTTCGGATCATAGTGGTAAACCCAAGTCTCATCCATGGTTACGAATCGACGCACAAAATCTGTTTTATTCTTTTGAAAACGGGCCAAATGTTCTTGAGAAAGTTTTACTCGAGTGCGTTTCTGATCCAGAGTTAGCGAATGCGGCACCCATCTTGCCAACAGCTTTCTCAGACGTAATTCATCGTGCAAGATGTGTAATACCCGTTCATCTGAGATGCCCACAGCCTCAGCAATTTCACGTTTGGTCAATCGTCTATCATCCATAACCATGTCATGCACAGCATTAATCGTTTCTTCAGTAGTAGCACTTTTTGGACGTCCAGAGCGAGGGTCATTTTCAAGGCTTGAACGCCCACGTTGAAACTCCGCAGCCCATTTGCATACTGTTGTTTTTGAAGGAGCATCATCACCCAACACATTTACCATTTCATTATGAATTTCCATGGGCTGTAAACCTTTTTTCACAAAGAATTTTATTACAGCACGATGTTAAATATTTTCCATTTTAAAAAATACTATGACACGTCTAATTTCAATAGCTTGTAAACAAAGACTGAAATGACATATCGACTTGAAATTTTTTATGCGTTCATACGAAGAATGAATACGTTTAATACAGTTATAAATTTGTTTCTACTACTGCAACATAGGTGCCGCTCCGCGAACTTTTCAACCAACCTAGTATATATATATATATATATATATATATATTACTAAAAACTTGAGTAACTAGCATTATATAACTATATACAGTAGTAATTAATCAAAATATTATAAAATTAAATTATGGAAATTTTAAATTAATTTATATAATGGCATTTATAACAGAAATCTTAATGTTAAGTAAATAAAAATTATAATACAAAATATAACAATATTCAATAATTTTATAGTTTGTTTAACATGTTAAAAAGAAATGTTAAATCTTGTTAACAAGAGATAACAATAAAAATATATTTACCAGTAAAAAATGTTTATATATATTTTATGAGAGAGTGATTTCAATATTGATCAATTTTTAATGTCAAATGGTTTACTCCCTTTTAGTCTGACTAAAACTTTTAGTCAAGCTTGAAGTGAGTGGTTTTTTGACATAAAAATTTGACTTTTTAAATAAAACTACAAATAAAATTTTAAGGAAATTAAAAATAAAAGTCTTTCTTTATACTAAAACAAAGTGACAAATCTTTATTAATAAAGATAAGTCACTTACTCTTTTTAGTAAAAAGAAATAGTAAAAAGAAAGAGTGACAATATAATTGTTTATGATTTATGATTTTATATTTATTAAACAATATAAAATCATAAACAATGAAAATAAAAAAATCAGAAATAAAAATAAAATATAATTTAAAAAACACATCACCATATATATCACTATGAATCAGAAAATGCTCGAATTAATACAACAGAAAATGCTCGAATTTATATAGAGTTAAAATTAACATTTAAAACCACATTATAACACATTAACAAATATTCATCAAATAAACTGCAAACCACGCAATCATCCCCAGATGTTCTTGAGCTTTTTCTTTATAGAATTACAAATATTAATTAGTAAAACTATTGAATCTAAAAAAGCTGTTTTATGGCTGACTTGTCTTCCGTGTGAATAAATAAAAGATGGCGTAAAACAAAGACGATTTTTTATATGTGATGTTTTATTTTATATGTGATGTTTTATTTTATATGTGATGTTTTATTAGATGTTTTATTTTTGAAAACTTACTAGGAACTTACTAAGTAATTCGTTTAATCCTGATAAGTACTTAGTAGGAACTTACTAGGATTAGCAGGAAATTCATAAACGTCATTTCACTAATGGGAAACTTAATAGGTTTAGCCGTATTAAGCGAAAACTTACCAGGATTAGCCGTATTAGCAGGAACTTAACAGGATTAGCAGGAAGTTAAACATATTCCTAGTAGTATTAGCGGGTTTTTTTTTCTCGGGATCACATTGCTTGTATGCTTACAAAATAGTCATCTAAAGAGCTAGTCCTCTTTACCCTGTTGGTCATTGTAACTAATAAAAATAATTTAATTAAAAATAGTAAAAAGCATTTGTCATTTAATTATTTAAAATAGTAATAAACACACTTTCGTTTTCTAAATAAGAAAGTAATTCATAAGAAATTCATTCAGTTACTATTTTTTAAAAAAAGTTCTTCGTATCTTAAATACAACTTGAAGTGTAAAAAAGTGTAATATAAAATGAAGTGTTGCAACTTCATTTGTTAAAAAATGAATACTTTTTTATTGAAATTTTAACTACCAAAAACGGCATAGCGTATATAAATAATACTACAAATTGAAATTAAATTAATAGAAAATAATTTTACCATACAAACCAAATCAATATTTATTTTTTCATAAGTTTTTAAAAACAGTTTAAAAAATTTTTCAAAATAAAACGCGTTCTATTTTGAAAAAATTTGAAACAATCAAATATTAATAGAAGAAAATCCTAAAATACCAAAGAATATTAATTAAAATATAAATTTTTCATTAGTTTTTAAAAACAGTTTAAAAAATTTTTCTAAATAGAACGCGTTCTATTTTGAAAAATTTTGAAAAAGTTTTGTATTAGTCAGTCGTGTGGGAAGGTCAAAAACCTTGGGGGAGGGAGAGGGCTGAAACAGAAATTAAAGCGGGCTAGGCCATCAAAAAACAGTATTTGAATGAAAAAAAAAATGAAATTTTAAGAAACTTGGGGGGAAATGACGATTGCCTCCTCCCAATCCCCTCCCCCTCCTATTTTTATGATAGTGGTCTTCTTTCCTCTCGGCATCGTATAAGTCAATACTGAAAAGAATTATCTCGTATCGCGTGGTATTGCTTATATATATAATAATGTCGATACTATCAGTATCGGTTCAATACCACTTGATACCGAGAAGGATGGTCTCGTATCGTGTGGTATCGCTTATGTTCTAATGTCGATACTATCAGTATTGCTTCGATACCAAATGATACCGATAATAAAAAGAGTCGTATAGTATCGCAGGGTCTCGAATCGAGACTTTCAATAAAACAAAAAAACCAAAAATTAAAAAGTGACTTATTGAATTTTTTATTAACAAAATGCAAGTACAATTGCTTTTTAGAGATTTAGTTATTGTTTTTTAATAATCTGCAATACTTTGGTTATCGTCCATTCGTTGTTTTTTCCTTTGCCGTACTTTCCTTGGTATTTTAGGATTTTCTTCTATTAATATTGGATTTTCTTCAATTATTATTATTATTATTATTTTAGGATTTTCTTATATTAAGATAAGTCTGATTCATGTCCTATATCACTTTCATTTGCTTGTTCGATGGGCCATTTTTTGATGTAATTTTCAATAGCGGAATAGTTCTGCATTATAAATACAAGCTTATCTGCCTTGTCACTATCGAGATTGTATCTACGATCAGTGATGAAGCAGAAAATACTCTTTCAGATGATGCAGAGGTCGGTGGAGTTGCCAACCAAGATCTTGCAACACCCGAAAGGATAGGAAGTTCCGCTGCATGCTGCTTCCACTATGCTAATGTGTCAATTATGCCTGCATTTTTGGATCTAATTGTTTTTTGGTTTTTCCATTTCTAGTTTAATAGGAGGGTTTTCGTGTATATGATGTGAATTAGTATCCTCTTTATACTTTGCTAAAATAATATTTTATTCATTTTTCTCCCAACCTTGTGCATTATCAGCAACGGAATCGTTACTACCGTTGTTATTGCTGGATCTTGAGACAGACAATGAAGAATTCTCGAAGTATTCTTTGATTGTGGGATGGTTTTCAACCAGTTTTTGAATATTTTGACAACATGAAAAAGATGTCCACGAAAAAATGGATGAAGGTAATGTCCTAGTGCAAATGCGGGTAACTTACGGCCTTTATCTGGGAATCTCTTTTTTCTGATAATATTTCCTCTGATAATCATTTTTCTGATAATAATTCCTCTGGTAATCTGATAAGTTCTGATAATAATTCCTCCAAAAATTTTTCTACTTATTTGTTGTTTCCATGAGTAACATAATTATTTTTTTCTCGATGAAGTTAATGAGTGCTGTTACTTTCCACAGTAACATGTCAATTTGGATCTCTGTGTCAGAAGATAAAAAAACTGATAATTCTTTAACAGGTTTAAGCACTTGAACAATAGCTTCAAAGAGTAGGAACTGTTTATCTGTAGATACGGTTTTCTTCCAATCATCACCTTCTGTATTGCGTGAGTATATGAATGGAACTTTCAGTCGAAGCATGGCGTGCAGCATATCGTAATGGCTGTTCCATCTCGTGGTTAATGTGGAGGATATTTTGAGGTAACTCACATCTAACCTGGAATAAGCATCTTTCAACGAAGCACTGAAGACTATCGATTATGAAGCCTGGTAGTAAGTGAGCTGGCTTTAAGAAAAGCATCTTTTAATTCCAGGGTACCCTCAACTGTTCTTTGAAGTGCAGTGTTGAGTTAGTGATCACTGCATGTAACAGAGCCTTCTACTTTAGTCATTAAAGACACACTGTCATTTAGAGCACATGCCATATTTGATGCTTGATCAATAACACACAGCTTATTTAGTATTTTTTTTAATGATTCAGGGCATGAGAGTGTGTTATCAAGTGCTTTGCAATGTTGATACCGGTGTGTCGTTCTTTGAATAGGCACACTGATAATGTAAATTTCTTTAGAGCAAAGTCTGGTGAGGTGTAATGTAATGTAACGGACATGTATGAATCATTTGCCCTTGATGTCCAGTGGTCGGTGGTTATGGCAACCTGATTACGATCTATGAGCTCTTTTTCCATAACTTCATGCATTATTACTTTTAGTGTATGATAAAGCCGAGGGAGTTTATTTTTTGAAAAAGTCGTTGAATGTTTTATTGTGGCATTTGGTAATATTCTGTTCATGAACCTCTTTAAATTTTCAGAATCAGCAAAACTGAACGACAAGCACTCAGTAGCAATCAAAGTAATGATGTCATGATCAACTACTAATTGACGCCAGTCTTGAAGTGGCCACTTTTTTGTAACTGTTTTCTTCGGGAGAGTGAGAGTTTTAAAGACTACATCTTTTGCGGATCCAGAAGCGCCTGCCTCGATTACGTTTAGTTCTTCATCTACTTGTAATCTCCTCTCGTATTCTTTTTTTTTGAAGTTCGATGAATAACTTTCTATGTTGTGTTTGAATATGCTTTCGCAAGCCAGTAGTATTTGCTTGCTTTGTGGCAAGCTTATTTCCACAAGTTTTAGACAGAGCAGATTCTCCTAAAAATGTAAAATACGGTTTAATAACAAATAAAACGGTTTTATTTTTTTATTATAATTTTATTTTATTTTTATTAAAAACAACAGAGCCGGGACGCTCAGAACTCACTTGAGGCCTGAGGCAACATTAAGTTTTGGGAGCATTCACTGTAAATTTTACCTCTAAATAATGTCAAAGGAGTTAAATAATTTTAGAAATATTATTACCAAAAAAGGACCCTTTGATAGGCGTGAATTTAACTTTTTTTTTACACTTAGTTAGTAGGTATCTTTAAATGAAACAAAAAAAAAAAAATTCAGAGTGGGCCGACATACAACTTGGCAATCAATTTAGCACACTGTTTATTTAGCAATTTAGCACGCTTTGCGATTTATGAATTATTGCTCCACCAATTAAATTAATTTTTTTTTAAATTTTAATAGTTAATAAACAATAATAGTTATAACGCAAAAGCGTAAAAAAAAAGCTGCGTTTTTAGTTAAAAAAAAATTTAAAAAGTTTAATTCCCATAAAAGATTTGAACTTAGAACTCCGTGCTTATATGTTATAACTTTATCCGCTTGGCCACGCATTCTCACGCGTTTGAAGATAAGTTATTATGTCTAATAATAGTTCTGCAGGTAATTAATTTAGAATTATTTCCTGACATTGCCGGCAATTACCTTTTGAGATAAACTATAAAAAATACTTTGTAAGTAATGCTTACCTATATTTTTCTTGAAATAATCCCAGATTAAAGATGTTGTTAAAGGCACAACGAGTGAAGATTAGTTTTCTTTAATAACTAAAGTATACTTAGGTTTAATTGTAAAGTTTAGTTATTGAATGTTGAACACAATTCAAAGACGAGGCGAGAATTACGATACCACGAGAGATTTAATAAAGTAACAATACCAGAAGAGAAATTAAAATATAAATACGACATCATACAATTAATTAAACTAAAATAACTGTAACGACTGTTACGAAATCAATTCCTTTGAACAATCATTTCTAATAAGCGTTTAGAATAATCATTAACAATTGCATCATAAACAATTTCCTTTGGAGACGGTCGTTTAAAGCCCGTTCTCCATTCAGAACTTTTTGCGCTTTGGAGGAGCGGAAAAGTTCTTTGAGCATGCGCAAAAAGTTCTGATAGGAGAACGGGTTTTAAAAAACTGTTTGCGCATGCTCAAAGAACTTTTCCGCTTCTCCAAAGCGCAAAAAGTTCTGAATGGAGAACGGGCTTAAATATTAGTAAAAAGCGCTATGTTTAGGTACGCAAGCGTAAGAAAGTATGAAAAACTTTTGAACTTTTAAAATGGCTACAGTTCTTAACTACAGAGTCACTGTAGTTAAGAATTGTAGCCATTTTTTTCTCTGTAAGAGAATATTTTATATGGCAACATATTATTTGTTAATTAACTTCTGAAAAGCCATTTATGTAGCTTTATTTTGAAGGTAAATCAATATAATAATACAAAGATTTTACAAAAATATAAATAAATAGATGTAACAAAAATCGAAAATTAAATAAAAATAAAGTTTTTTGCGTGCCAAAACTTTATTTTTATTTAATACCTTTTTAGTGTAAATCATAGATTTCTTTATTTATTTGAAATCAATTTTCTAAAAATCTGACTGTAGGATTTTAATAATTTTTTTTTAAAACTTCAGATAATTATGTTCTATATGTA